TTTATTACAAACTTTAAAAAATTTCTAACTTACTTATCTATTTATTTATTTTATTATTTATTATTCACCAATCTTTGGTGCAAGATAATATCTAAGAAAACTACTTGTAGAATTTATAGTATATTCTACAAGCAACGGCATCTCTTCAGATAAACATAATCTAACCTGATCAGATAATGGGGAACCTTTGGTAAAATTCATCAAGTATTTGAGTGAAAATTGAAGTGAAACTGGTTTCGTAACAATGATTTCGATCGTTTCTTCAGGCTAACAAATAAAATATTTATACATATTAATAAATATAGTAAATATAATATTTTAAAAAATAATTTTTAAAAAATAAATAAATTACTTTATCCATGGGGGAAGTTGGTTTCAATTTTATGCTGCCATTACCAAGTTCACCTTCTGTAATGAATCTAATCTCATCACCGTCAATTTCAATTCTTACTTTTTTTTTTTTTATTTAAGAAAAATAATCTGATATTAATTAACTATAATAATAATAATAGCAATATATTTCAAAAAACGACAATGTTATATAAATTACCAGTTTCGCCAATAACCATCATATCACGACATACTCTTTGAAACTCGGCAGACGGTAAACTTACTATTGCATCATATACTGTTTCTGGAATACTTAAATGCTCTTGATCAATGTCCATTAATTTCAATTCAAATTCACTAAGTTTATCATTTGCTTATAAAATAAATAAATAATTAATTTATTAATTAATTTATTTTCTGAAAGTTAGCAAATAAAATATTTGCTTACTTGGAGCTGAAAATGCCATGGCTAAAGTCTCTGGAGAATTGTCATCGGCTTTTAATGTGATAGTATCATCATTTCCGGCACACCTCAATAACTTGTTAAGAGAAGTTAAATTTACACCCAAAGAAAAACCTCTATCACATCGATATGTAGAAAATATTTCGTTACTTAATAAAAGTGATACTAGTGCTACGTGTGAGTTATCCATGGCTTGAAGTGCAATACCCGTCTCACTACAATCAAAATTTGCATCTGTAACAAGTTCTTTGATAGCTTCTAATAATTTTTTAAGCATTAAACCTTGACTTAAAAGTGCTTCAAACATTTTATTGTTGTGTAATTATTATTATTTATTAAAGCGAAAGATTATTTATTAAACTGAAAGATATT